TGCCTAGAATCCCAAAGTGCCCCAGACTCCATATTATAAGGTCTTTGCGCTACTTGTTCATGGGCGTTTTACCATTTGCTGCTTTCGTTCATGGCCCTCCCCCCCTCGCCCTTTGGGAAAATCCCGGATCTGTCCCTGGGTTAAGATTCTGTCAGTCTGCACCATGTAGAAATGCTCTTCGGGAGTCCTGTACTCAGATTTCCAGTATTTGGTACATGTTCCGCATTTCATGAACTTCACTTGTTAGAGTTCTTTGTCATAGTGTTTTTGTGCTGCTCATTTGTGCATAGCAGTCCATTGTGTGTGCTGGAACTATCACCAGTGTACATGTATGGTACCGGTACCCCGTAACCTTCATGTACATGTCCTGAATGAGTATTATTACTACAAAGACCTTGTCATAACATCAGGAAATTCATGCATCTATCAAGTACCGGTACATGTAAACTGTGCATAGCACGCCTCTATGCACGCAGTACCCATGCAGTTGAAACTTAATTTACGACTTCACACTGCGTTCTTTTTCCCAATAACCTTTCAATAGTTGTTTGTACATTTTCAAGATAGAAACCTAAAATGTCATGTATATGCCAGGCAGTAATCACCCAAAAATATTTCACTGTGACACCTACTTACGAACGAAATTCATTGTCACGTTTTAATGTGAACAGGCCGAGCAAAATACATAAATTATATATTGGACCCAAATGAAATTACTGCATGAGTGGATTGTGGATAAGGAAAGAATTCACCAATAGGAAATACACATCGTTGTGTCATTATCAGGACCAGTTTCAGAAATGCAAAGTGCTTGTTACAAACTGAAACAACAAAATTAGCAATGACTAGTCTCCAGGAGGCAACAAACAAACAAACAGATACGGTAGAAACACCATTTATCTGATTGGAGTTGGAGTTGACAAGCAAAGAGGAAAACAGGTTCACAATGACTAGCATTGTACAATTCATCCCTACACATACCTGGACATGGATATGTACCTATACAAAGGTGAACTGTACCTTTAACTTGTCATAGGTGAATAGTTGTGAATAGATGTTTGTTGTTCAGGAATCTGGAATGTCCCTCCCGAACCCGGTCGCATGAAAAAAAAAAAAGCCACATCTTCTATGATTCAGGTGAACGAACACATCCCATTTCAACTCGCTTATTTAAATGTTACCCAGTGTGTGACGTTTATGAAGTGCTGATAAGTTTAGGGCCTTGTGTGCCGTGGAAGAATTTATCGAAATTGGGAAGCATTGTCCTTTTTTGACGGTCCTCTTTGTCCGCAGGATCAAGGATTTCTATGATAAGTTTACAGTACCACAATTAGTTCCCCAACAATTGTTAGGTTTCAGTGTAAAATGGCATGTATCTCTGTCTTAACAATTTGGCTTGATTTGTTTCTGTTTTCTGTAGATTCTTTTGAGAGCAGATTTGGGTTCCGTTCAGAAAAAGAGTTTCCTTCTCCTAAGCCTTTCACACCAACGCACAAGACCTATCCCAGCAAAACTTTATCTAATAGACAAAGTAAGTATGACCAAAACCAATCACAGTAATAGTTGTGCAACCGTGCTTCTGGTTTCGTAAACATTTCTGTGGCCTGCATCAGTAAAAATGTGAGTTTATTGAGGGAAAAAAATTCTGCAATCCGTTAAATTCAGCTAGAACTTGAAGACACTGATAAGATGCTAACGTGCCAACCCAACTTTCACAAGCTGGCTAATTGAGGGATAAGACACCTCCAGCATGTAAGCAGAAGGTCATGGATTGGAGTCTCACGCAAGTGGGGCCCCAGCAGCACTGGAAATAGATAGCCTAGCCTGTAAAAAGTTCTGCTGTTACTGTTGAAAGTCCAACAAGAAAACCAGACAAACAAAGCTGGCATATATCTTCCTGTTTGTCCAACATAAAGAGGGAATACATTTCTGTGGCATTTTTAATCACAAAAAAAAAATCCTCTTTCTTTTTTACCTGCTGGATGGAACATACATGTAAGCCAGTATGTTAAGGCCATCTCTCAGTCTTTACTGAAGTAAAAGACACTGTGTTTGAATGTTAACTAACTGCCAACAGACGCAGTTCGCTACTTGCCCATTGATTCGGTTTATTACACAACGGAACAGCTGTCAGAAAAAGCACAGATTGAGGATGGTGAGTGGGGCATGTGTAGCTTGCATAGGACCCATCAGCATGGCAAGAGATGCATACTGTAAATATCCAACAGGTGTGGGAGGTCAGTGGTAGGGAGGGGCGTGGCAGGAGGAAAGGGTGTAGTTCATTGACCTCCACAGTGTCCAAGATTGAGGATGGTGAGTGGGGCATATGTAGCTTGCATAGGGCCCATCAGCATGGCAAGAGATGCATAATGTAAATATCCAACAGGTGGGGGAGGTCAGTGGTAGGAAGGGGCGTGGCAGGAGGAAAGGGTGTGGTTCATTGACCTCCACAGCGTCTAAGATGGAGGAAGGTGCGTGGGGCATGTGTAGCTTGCATAGGGCCCATCAGCATGGCAAGAGATGCATACTGTAAATATCCAACAGGTGGGGGAGGTCAGTGGTAGGGAGGGGCGTGGCAGGAGGAAAAGGTGTAGTTCATTGACCTCCACAGCGTCTAAGATGGAGGAAGGTGCGTGGGGCATGTGTAGCTTGCACAGCCTGTCAGCATGTCAAGAGATGCATAAACACTCAATGACGGGAAGGGGGAGGGCATAGTAGGAAGGGCATAACAAGCGGAACCAGGTGCGGTTCACTGACCTCCGTAGTGTCCCAGATTGTCTCGTGGTAACCTCTGAAGAATACCCTAGGAATGGATGAAATCCACACGGCGATCTGTGTATTGCAGATGCTCTTTGAATAAAGTCTGATAATCTTTGAACTTTGTATTCAACATAATATAGACATTTAATATAGTAGGTTGTATGTTTCAGCCCCATACCAAAAGGTCGCACAAAAAAACGGAAACTCTGAACTATAAAAAAGCACTGCACAAGGGCACTGGCTTACAGGAAGTCCACAATACACACATGAAAAGCTCAGAATGAATCAGAAACCAAAGGAAATGCCATGTGCATATGCATTGTCAGATTCATACAAGTAAAAGGAAGTCATGTTGAGTTTCCTTGTTATTCTAAATATGAATAAACAAGATCTGATATTGTGACTTTGCCGTCAAAACTGAGTCTTCATTTTCATATTAGTTTTCACAATAGCTAAGCTCTAGTGATGTAATCATTGTTAACATGCAACCTACATGCAAGCGTGCATTGGAAAAGCAGGAGTACATGTACATCAGAGTTTTGCTGGATCCAACTTCCTTCTATCTTCAAGGCTTCAGCAGCAGGCTGTATCAACTGTGTGTGATAACAAATGCACAACAAAATTGTCTTTGTAAATATTTTGGTTTTGTGATCTTCCTCTACATGAAACATTTTAGGTAGTTTTTTGCCTCAAGTTTTCCATAAAGTTGGTCCCATTTTAGAAAGACAGTGATGTATAAGACTTGAAGCTTTGTAGAGGGCTTGCGGACCTTTGCGGTAACATCACATGGAAAGATCTCTTTTGGAAGAGATGCGGTTCTCTGATAAGAACCATTGAGTGTATATTCGACGTTTTGACCAGTATGCGGTAGTCATCCCCTGGTCATCCTGTGGTCATCCCCTGGTCATCCCCCGGTCATCCCCTGGTCATCCCCCGGTCATCCCCTGGTCATCCCCTGGTCATCCCCTGGTCATCCTCTTGCCATCCTCAGCTTCACTCCTGAGGACAACGAGAGCACACTGGTTGAAACGTTGAGTACACACTCAATGGTTCTTGTCAGAACCATACCTCTTCCAAAAAGAGATCTATCCACATACCACAAGCCATCTCCTTAAAAGTGATGGTTTTTTTTTCAGAATAGAGTCTTGGTTTCAAAACATGCTTGAAACATGTTTTTGTCTTCGTTTGCTTTTTCTTTTAGCTTCAGTTTCACATGAGTTATGAAATGCTTTACAATTCATGTGTAAACCTCATAACATAAGAAAACGAGACTTTTGTGTTTCGTGTCTTTCCCGTTTCAATGTCCCAGCAGAGGTCAAGATTTTTCCATCTTCCATGAGTTGGATTTGTGCATGAAGAATGACATGGGACATGAATGATTGTCTATGACAGCACGCTTGTCTTGTTTTGCTATATCAAATGTACAGTTTCTTTTATTCATGCATGGTTGAAAAAGTCATATAATTATGTGTAAGAAATACAAAATGTACAAAAAAATTTGAGTTCCAGGTACATGAAGATCATTTTTGAAGAGTCATTTACAGCCAGCTCTCCTCACATGAGCTGATTTCCTTGTTTTTGACTGCCCATGTTTGCCAACAAAGTAACACTATAGGGCCTTTTCCATCTCAGAATTTCCTGTCTATTTTTTAACGATGAGTTTTTATGCCTGTAAGCAAAGGCTCTGCCTGTAATTGTTAGCATGTCAGGTCCATCAATGTAGATTCACAAATTGAACCAAATGCCTAGTGTGCCATTTTGCAGGCAGAAACTTGATTTCAGGCTTGTGCATTTAAAGTATTGGGCTAATTTCAGGGCTTAACCAGGCATATTTGGGCCTCTTTGGCCTTATATTCATGCTGTGTACAAAAAACCACTGACTTGCATCCTTGAAATGCACTTTACATGGGCTTACATTATTTCCGTTCCACTGGTTAACGTAAATTGAGTAACATGTGTACGTGCATCAACATGAAGTCCAGGGAGACGTGAGCATCTTATGTATACAGTATTCTGTATGCCTTATCCTGTCGTTGAAGACATTGGCCTTTGTCAGCGTGCCCTCTGTAATTGAATGTTTCCCTGTCAGGAGGAAGTAGGGCGGTTGCACCTTGCATGCCTCTTACAGATATCCAGGAAAACAGGCCAGACAGAGCTCCATTTGAGATTCGTTCTCATGACCTTTATAAGATGTAACAGCATTGACCTTGAAGGACTGTTTTGTCGGGTTGAGTTTGAGGACTAATTAAATATGACGTATGTGACTGAAAATAGAGTTTTGTCAATAAGACCAGGGGAAAGAAGGCTGCAGTCTTCTTACACACAATCAGTTTAACTCACACCCCAACAATTTTCCTAATTCAAAGAATGTCAACATTATTGTGAATTTGTGATGTTAAGAATAACGTGATTTCACTTAATAATGCATGGTTTGCTTAAGCACAGTCCCAAGGAAGTTTCCTGATATGAAATGAACAAGACGCTTTGCGGGAAAAATAATTTTGGAATGTGAAGTTGATTTTGTTTTTCTATTGATTTCTCATTGCAGGTGTGAAACGAGGCCCGCCTCCAGAGCCTCCATCTCATTAACTCCAGGTGATTTCATCTTTGGAATGAAATCAAGTTTCCTGTGGGTATATCAGTGGCACTCCTCATTAGGTTCAGGCCAAGACATTCCCTGAACAATCAACCTTATCCTGAAAATTTACTTGTTGCCAAATGACATGTGTCATAGAACACATGCGGTATAGTAGGGTTTTGAGTTGGAAAGGCACTATAGTAAAACATTGTGGGATTTTGCATACCCTGCACACAATCCTGTGGCCCATCCTTTTGAAAAACTGAGGGTGAATATGTTTGCCACTTGATGCTTGATGTGAGGCTGCATCCGAATTTGTTGTCTAGAGCTACGTCTACGTCTTCGCTCCATTGGAAATGTGTGGAGACACGTAGACAATAGACCTAGCCGTAGCTCTAGAAGCTCGTTTGAAAACAAAACCTTGTATATCTGTACACATTCCACGGGGAACTTTATGCAAAAGGAGTCTACCTACGAACAGTTGGTTACCATTCAAGTCACACAGTGCAAATCTCACAGGCCATGTGGCTTGGAAATGTGTCAAATGCAGAAAATCTTTGTTCGACCAAACAGCAGGTTTCCAGGCCAAAATGTCATGTGATGTAGATGTGAATTGATGGCTACTACTTATACCAGCTTGCTAAGTGCAAAGTTGTGGTCTTAAGAGTTACCAACTTAGCAAAAACTAGCCAAGAGTCAGTCACCACCAATTTTACATGTACCTCATATCATGTTTTGGTCAGGTTTCTGCTTAGCAATAGATATCTGGCTGGCTTGGTAAATATTAGGCAATGCAACATTTTCTGAGATCAGCCCACTTCTTGTTTGTTGGGTTGTTGTTTTTTTCCAAGTCATTCATGGACTTGCTATAATAAATTGAAAAATGCTGTACAGAGTATTGCACAGTTTTCCTCTTTTTTTGAGGGGGGTTCATTGCTCCCAGAATTTCCACTTGTGTGTCTGGATCATCCATTTGCTATTTCAATGAAATAGGCCTGTGAGGTTTGCCAAGCACCCTCCAAAATGACTTGACGGTGCCCGTTGTCCTAACACTGGCCACAGTCTCGCACTATAATCACGACACTGTGATCAAGAGGACAGGAAGGAAACGTAAGAGTTGTCCTCTCCAAAAAATCCAAGCCAAACCCCCCCCATAAGTGGCATCCAATTCTGCTTGCAGGCATAAAGATGGGCAAGGTCTTTCATTGAAGGCAGGCAGGAAGTCTGTATTGTCTACCCTACTTAAACCAACAAAAATGTGGAGTATTTTTCTTCGTTACTACTTGTTATTAAAGCATTGGTCAAATGCCTTGTCCAGTAAAATGACCATTTAGAAGTAAGAAATGATTCTGTATGTATAAACTTAGCCTTTTGTTACTCCTTGTGGCTATTACGTTTATTTCTATTCCATTATCTATTTTTTTTTATTGGATCCATGATTTGTAAAATCCTTCATTGAGAATGTTTCAAGGAGAGGACATCAAATGAGTATTTGGCCCTCTGATAGTTTCAGAATGGCCATTCTTGTGGCGGATATCCTTCATGAGATGTTTGCAGCGTATTTTGATCCTAGAGAATCATGACCCTGGCCATTCTAATACGGAACATTAGTACTTGGGAATGTTATCACTCATTTAAAGTGACGTTACAAGCTTTATCTCTTGTGGAAATGCCATCAGGATTTTCCCCGCAACAGAGAAAAAGATTAATAGTAAATGCAATTGATACCAAATGTGTTTGATTTAAAAAACTGCTCCAATTATGAATTAATACTAAACTGAACATTTAATTTCAGTGTTTAGGGTTTTTTTTCACAAATGAACATGCAACTTGAAGTCTGCACAGAATCGTCAGTGATGAGAAACATTCTATATTGTAAACAAATTGCTGGTTTTGCAGAGGGCATCTGGTGTATGATTTTTTTTCTATCATTTTGCATTCATTTCTGTGGCATTTTTTCCGAGGAATCATCCAGTCATAAGGTTTACTTTGTAAATATGGATATACAAGACAAGATGCTAGAATATTGTAACTTATCTGTATAGTCTTGTACATGTATACTGCTCAAAAGCAATTTGGGAAGAGGTTGGAACTGCAAATCACCCAAACCGTATGCATCAATTAAGATGTCATGAGGAAATTTATAGACTGGGGATTCCTTCTCCAACATTTGACTGAAAGGTCTACATTTTACCATTTACAAGTATTTGAAAATTATTGCCTAGGTTTTGCAGTATGAAAGGGCATTGTAAAAAGTTTGTGCTGTTTGTCAAGATGGCGACAGATTTAAATTTCTGGCCATTTCCCTTCCTCGCCCCTGATTGAAAGCCGTCAGGAAAGGTTTGTAGGTTCATGACTGACATCCTTTCCAAACAGTAGCGAAGTCTTTTACAAAAGTGAGTAATCTAGCCAGAAATTGTCTCACTTGATAACTATTGAAAGTATTTTGTTCAGAGGTGAAGAAAACGGTTCCAAAGTACTCCGGCTTTTAGTCAGTTTGAATCAAAACTTGAGTTCAGTTTGGTTTTGAAGTTTTCCCTGACATTGCCAGACGTCAGAAGTTCCAAAGCATTTGTGGTATACATAGCAGGAATAATAAAATGTTGCTAATTAATGTTTGACCTTATCACCGGTACCCTCCTGTTAAATGCATTTTCTGTGCACGACTAAGTACACCGGTGAAAATGAGTCTGCGCATAATAAGCCCAGTATTGCTACATATTCAAGAACCCAGAGAGTTTTTGTTATTTCATAGTATTAAATAAATGCATTTGGGTTAGAAAGGGCAGTTGAATCTTGATAAACAATTATGTAAAGTTTAAAGACAAGACAAAAGATTTGTCTGGAAAATAAAAAGGCTATGAACTGTGCATATTGTATCTAATTTTTTTCTGATATTTGTATAGTAATTGACTCAAGAAAGAAAACCCTTGTATTAAACATTTAAATAAATTTAAATGCAAAAAAGTTACCAAGGGGAACTGTATTTTTGGCTATGCATAATTGCGTATTTGAGATGACTTCCTAATATAGACTTAATGGTACATTCTAGATAGGCAACTGTATTGTGTAAAATAGGAAGAAAAAAAGTCACCCTTTTTTGATTTATATTATCATAGAAAAAACTCTTTGTACATGGTCCTTTTATCTGTTGTTTGTGTGATTAACAGACAAGTGGCGGCAATTATGGAATAAACAATGGATAATTCCGAGATCAAACCATTTTGCAGCCAGTGTGCATTGTAATATGGTTGCATTCCCTACATGTTGGACTTGTTATTCACAAGATTTTTGATGTTCATGTTTTATAGGAAGTGTCCACTGGAGTCCTTAATGGCTTGGTATCCGCCAGCTGCTTGCATTCAATGACAATCCACAGCAACCAGGACCAGTAACGACATGACCACATCTCAACTGCACTTCTTGTAGAGTTTTGTGCAGACACAAGGAACGTCACAGATCAGTGGAAAGTTAAACCAATGGTTACTGATCAGATTTGTCCCAGACTGCAGGACTAGTCTGATGCCAAATCACCTCAGCAAGTCATAGAAACTGGTTGCAGCATTGCCATGGAAACATTTTCAATTGTCCCAAAAAAATTAGGGTAATCATGTATAACTAGTCACATCTAGTGTCCAAAACATTTTATTTACAGTTCATGGCATTGGTATTCCAGTCTTATATACAAGTATTACATTGTATCTATAATTTACAATTGAACAAATCCAGCCAACAACCATATTACAAAAGTTGACCATTCACCTATTCTGCTTGTTATTAGAGTTATGCCTGTTATCTAGTGTTTAAAGTATAAAGAAAGTTAACGGCCATACAAGGAAACAACAAACCTGTCCTGTTCAGAAAAAAACATTTCATTGATCTTGGAAGAATTCAAAGGAGGAATCATCTAGATGCCGATGACCCAGCACTCAACCGCCCGCTTGCTGGTGCAGAGGTCGCATCCCCTGACCTCGGGGTCATACCCAACGATGACCTGGCCGAGTTCATGGCTAGCTGTGATTGGCTACGTGCTTCCACTAGCTGCCCCATGTGCCTGTAGTGCTCCGAGGCTTGTCGTTGAGAACGCAGACGCGATTCCTTGATCAAATTGGCCGACAACTGCAAAATGTCTGGTAACAAGACAGAGACACGTGGAGTGGCGTGAGCTCCTTTACTACATAGAGAATATGTGCACTGCATCAAAAGTTCACTTGCCACAGAAGTGTGACGTCTACAGATAGCATGTTACTTAGATGAAAAATTATTTCAGTATTTTACTATGGTACATGTACATCTGTCCTTGAAAAATTTCTTGTCATCTTTGAGAACTTATTAGAGAGTCAATTGGCTCTCTGAAAGAAATTAATTTTTTACTGTCATCTTAATTTGATTTGTATTCAGACTGCCTGGTTGCAACCTCATGCTACAATGGGTCTGAACAACAACGATAGAGGGCGCTGTGCAATCTACGTGGACCATGGGAAGGCACTTGTGCATCATTGATGCTGCCAGCGCCAGGCCAGTGCACATTGCTAAGCCTGGGTACTAGACGGGAAACTACGAAGAGACTACAGGATCAAACTTTACACAGGAATGGCTACCTAGTGCCCACGGCTAAGCCTGGATACTAGACAGGAAACTGTGAACAGACTACAGGATCACAAGTACAGAATGTCTCAAATTGAAAGTCCCATCTGTGGAGAATATTGAAATGTTCGGTTGCATCCCAAACCTGCATCTTACCTTCAGTCAATTCACCTGTCCTTCCTTCCACCTCATCTTCTACATCCCCCATCTCATCATCTTCCTCTGAGCTTAAGGCAAGGGCATCGCATCCCGCTTCTAACCGCTCTTGTCTTGTTACAGCATCCCCATCCAACTGTTGAAGGTTCGGCAAGGCAAGTAGAAGTTTCCTCCTGTCCATGCAAACAAATCATTATTGCAAAAACTGACAAAAAGTTAAGATTAGGGAAAATTCCTTGAAGCCAAAAGATTGAAGCCCAAAGATTTCACTTTGTGCATCCTTGTTATCCTTTGTCGGTTTCTTTTGTTTAAACTTCCAAAGTGAAAAACGAGTAAGGAAATATGTTCCACTTTCAGTGAACTCATTTGTAACACCATCTGCTCCAAGCGGAACAGAAGAGGGCGTGCTTTTTTGGTACTCACTGCATAGACGCACCATGAGGCATGCAAGTTGATACGCATTTGACACGAAGCACGCTGAGTATGCATAATTTATTTATTCTGGCATGTATGGTCTGGGTACACGCAGAATGTGTGCAAGAACCCGCTTGTAACCAACCACCTGTCCTTTGGTTGATTGAGGGTGCACTTCAGCTCAGGGTGGATTGTTTACCTGTAGTCGGCCATCTTGCAGCATGGATTTCCCTCCATAGTGAGTATCATCAAAGTCTTGGGAAGCTCATCTACCAAAGGAATAAATAACATCATGTTCATTCGCATGGGCTACCGACATCAATCACTCAGGAATGCAAAGAGTCTGAGAAAAATGATTAATCAAGCAAAGTTGTTGGAAAGAAAAATAATTTGCAGAAAACTATTTGAGATTTTGATGGCGATTACAGTGAATCAATGAACCAGACAACATATCTACACCATGCCATGTATTGCAAGTTTACTGAAGTAAACAATCCCTGGAAATACTTCTATTCATACCAATAGAATTTGAAGTTCATTAATTACGCTGAAACGTAGAAATCTGTCAATATATTGACTGTGACGCTAGTAATATTTTTTTCTACTTCATATCATATGAAACAACTTCTCAACACTTAATAAATTCAGAATGCCTCACTTGTGTCGAACTCTTGAATCTGATTGGACGACAAGTCCAGCAGCTTGAGTCCTGGAAGGTCAGTCAGGTTTTCCACCTTCTCAATTTGGTTGCCAGCAAGAGTTAGGAAGCACAGGGACTGTAGCGACTCAAGATTCTTAATTTTCTCGATCCGATTCTGGTATGGGAGAGACCAAGTTAGGCAAAGGCAACTTGAAATTCTCGGACTGGCCAGCCGACCCCGGTAAGCTCGGTGGTCAAGTGGTTAAGACGTCTGCACTAGTAAGCAAGAGGTCTTGGGTTCGAGTCCCACCCGAGTAGGCTTGTGACCTTTTTCGCAAGCTCTCGGACATGCACTGAGCATACATTGTTTATTATTAATGTATACATTGGGTAAGGGCAAAACCCGTTATATAAATCCTTTGTCTGTCCTTCAACTTGAAATTCTGTTGCTGGCCACAATCTATATGACCTTGAGGAGTATTTTTTAAGAAGTAAGAGTTCTTTCATTTAGGACTATGGAACAGATATGGATTTCCTCAACAAAATTAATCTGGGTTATTTTCCCACCTGTAAGGCTGATAAGTCTTATTTTTCTATTCCTTGACAGGCTGACAAGCTATGTAGGGCTGATTCAATGTGAAAAATTCACTATTTGAATATTTGACCTTCAATTCGATCGAATATCTGAATATTCGGTTTTACCAACCAGCAGATGAAAAAAACCATGTACCATTGATGAAAAAACCATGTACAAAATTAGTTGCAATACCACAAACAATGTTGATGTACATTATAATCAATATTATAGCTTTTCATGTCTAGGAGTATCTCCAGCCATAGTTTAGCAAGATTTAAGGGATGAACAATACTCCTTCATTTGGATCTGCTTGAAACAAACCTCCATAGTGCCATTTTTCTCATTTAAGCAAAAGAAAATTATTCAATATTCAAATTTGGAAAATAAGATTTGAACAATTCATAATCAATTGAAATCATTCACCATGCTAGTTTGAATAACAACACTGATTCATGTACGTTTAATCATAGATATAGTCTCCTCAGATTTTCTTTAAACCCTCTCTAACCAAACAGGAATCAACTTTGAAGGAATTAAGTTTGAAGATAATCTTCTCACTTGCTGTAAGTACAGGTTTGTGACAGGTCCCATCATCTCAAGATCATCAATCTCTCCAACATTCTCCCTGTCTAAACGCAGATGAGTCAGCTTGCTGATAGCGTGAATTCTGTGCATACAGAAAGCTTTGTATTAATTTATGACAACTTTCTGAAGCTTCATTTTTATACATGCACTTTCATTATTTGCTCAGTTTCAAGTGAGCATTTCCACTGGAATGTCCAATGCTGCATCGTCGCTAGTTACATTGGAAATATCACATCAGCTTTCAAATCAAGACGGTGAAAGGAAATGGTGCATAGATTGAAGAAACACTCACAGCTTCTCATGGGATCCACTAGCAACATCCGGAGATAGATTCCTTCTTGCTATCAACTGAAGACTGATTCTGATAGGTCTGGACATAACTGAGGTCAGAAGTAACAACAAATTTTATGAAACTCAGCTCCCTCAAGACTCCAAAACTTGACATCCACTTATCAATGTATAATTAGCAGTTCCTCCCCCTCCTCCATCAACCCAAACCCCACCCCCTGATCTTACTCTTAGGCATCTCTGCCTCTTCACACTGCTGCCGGTACTTCTCTTCCTGTGACTGCAGCCTTTCGTCTGCATCCACAGACGGACCAAAGGCTTCCTCTTTCCTTGCTCCATCACCGGAGGGTGCTTTTGGCTTGGACGTCAATGGATTTGTAGCTGGTTTGTCCTTCGGCATTGATTTGGATCTGGTTGAAGCAGTCGACTTTGATTTGACAGAGGACTTCTTCATTGTTATTTTATCATCAAATCTTTGACTGAAGAAACCTGTCAAATACACATTTGAGATTTGAGTGCATGTGGAGAGGGCGTGTTTTCAAACGAAATTGACAGCACATTGGTACCATGATCTCTATGCCTGGTACACCACATACATGTACAAGTAGAAGTTCTAGCATGTTTGGCGCGGGCCACACTGAGTATGTGCAACGTAAATTATGCTGGGATGTACAGTCTTTGCGCGTACACCGAATGGGTGCAAGAACCCGGTTGGAAAACTTCATACCAATCTGTCTCTTGTTTGACGGTGAGAGTATACTTCAATTCAGGATGGATAGTCAGCAGTCAATATACATGTATGATGTACTAACAGGCCTAGGCATTTAACATGTTTAGTCATGTTAATCTATTGCACAGAAAATGCAAAACCTATGCAAACTAGAATGCTCAGTCTCAGGCTCTTTGGTTAAACACTGTATACATTTGGAATACATTGACAGTATCCGACAATTTTTTTAAAAAGGTTATGTTTCACGACCACGATGATTTAGCGATGATTTTAGTTTATCAAAATGACAGACCACACACCATGCCACCGATTATGAGTTTATCATGATCGTGCATTCGTGATGGTTTCGCCAAAACAACAATCTAAAATATATTACTTTGTCCTGAAATCGAATGTTAATTCGCTTACATGTACACCACTATTACATCATAGGCCTACGACATCAAATGTAACACTTATTCCTACTTCAAATTCGGTTGCATCCTTAGAAACGAGACGCTTCGCCCTTAGTCAGTTGTTAGTTGGAATCCATCAATAGTACCAAACTCTGGAGGGCGCAATTCTCTTCACCGTATGACATGTACACTGCACTAGCACTTGACAGAGCTAGAGACACACACGTTCACATCAGGATGCTGACCGAACACGAAAGTCCCGGTGTGTTTTCACGCACATTATGATTCTGCTCACCAGCCTAACTCATGTTTTATACTAATCATGCTAATTTAAACTCCTGTTTTGACATAACGATGGGCTTTACTCACTGTCACACTTTTTAAATAAAGAGCGACCAGAGGTGTTTATTCAGGTGAGAAGTTAATGTTTTCCTTGAATTCTTAACGAGCATGACTAGGCCTACTTGTACTACTACTAGCCCCAGACTGGGGGCCAGTCTACTGGACTCCATCCGTACCCTAGGCCCGGCCACAGCGGTCCATTCAAAAAGTGGGGACTTAGCAAAAATGCCTTCTATGAAATCCCATTTGCATGTATGGATCACTCACCCCATCAAGCCATTTCCAATTTTTAGAAGTCCGTGAAATTTTGGTTTCGATTTGGGCCATTATTCATTTACTTTGCCGACCGATACCAAACACAATCGGGATCTCGGCCTATTTGGTCTGGGAACCAGACAGCGTTATTACGTAGATCTCCCAAGCATGACAATGCCAATGAACACTGATGAATGATAAACCGAAATGCATACGATGCCTGGGATCAAGTGTGAACTCATTGCCAGACAAATCGCGGCATGTGTGGCGCACACATCATTCGCTCATCCAATCCCCATCCCGCACAATGATGACATGACCATGAAAATATATGACATCTGTTGTTTTCATCGCATTCATTGCATTGATGCATACACATCTTCATTACGAGTGATAAAACAGAAGTTCGGATCATAGAAGGCATTTTCGCTGTGGGGCCTAGGATACAGAGGGAGTCCAGTAGACTGGCCCCAGTCTGGGGCTAGACTAGGCCTAGGCCTCTATCACATGTTGTTTCAATCAAGTCTTCATGGGTCAAGGAATCATGGAAAATGTAGGCCCCCTAGTTGGGGTAACTTGGACTCTACGAATCATCATTTTAAACAATTGGACATGGTTGGGTGGTGGTCGACATGGTAGAGTAGCCTACCTTCCTTAGGTTCCATCCCATTACTTCATTTCACCCAAATACATGTACCTATAGCTCTTTTATACACCTGAGACAAAATCCTCAAAATTATCTACTGAACAGTCCCGAAACTGTCTAATGTGCCCACTTTGGGATTCAGTGGGAATCAAAGATTACGGCGAAGGTGGTATGGTTTATTCACATGCAGAAATGTTAGTCAGCTGAGTTCAAATTCACCATCTTCGTCATATTAGGGGCCTGGTACAATTCAAAGTGTATTTCAATATCCAAGAGAGGAAGTTACAATGCACCGGGCCAGGGGACCATTCACAAAAAGTGTGCATTGTCTGCACATGCATGCTAACAACTGTTTCCTGATGGACACAGTGTTTGATAGTTATGACCACATTGAGTTGTACACTGGACGTTGCACTGCTCAGGAAACAGCCGTTGGCAAGTGCGTTTAGAAACTGAATGTTTTTGTGAATGGTTTGCTAGGCTGGCGCGTCGTTTCTGGTATGTTAACATACAGTTTAAATTGTAACATGAAGAAAATGGCGACTTCAAGCTCAGTCCAGGAGTGTTCCTGATTTCATTGTAAAATTTTGTTTTAATCCCGTACATGTCATTTTCTTTTCTTGATTTTCCAAGGTTGTCAGTGATAGAAGAGGTTGGTAAGGATGAATCTGACTAGCTTTATCTCCATGATCCTTGGTCTGACGGCTGGAGTATTAACTGCCATCATCTTCAGCAAGTTTCAAGCCATCAGCAGAGACAAGGAGACTGTTGTGCCAAAACGCCCGGCAAGGCCCACATTGACGGGATCGCAATGTGTCTATTTCAGGTTCCCAAAAGAAGCAAATGAAATCTCAAAGCAGAAGACACCGGCTGGGCTATCGGCTGAAGCAGTGAACTTTGACTCCCGGCGGGATCTTTTTGACCCGAGATTGAATAGTACGTTTTTGTACAACAAAGTCAAGATCCTTTGCTTTGTACTTCTACAGAAGGGCCACATTGGTAACTATGGCAAATCAGCCAAAGCCACTTGGACAAAACATTGCAATAAGGTGGTTTTTCTTAGCAGTGTACAAAACGGCGATATCGGAACAATTGATATTAAATTACCAGGGGGCAAATCTGATTGGCCAAGATCCAAGCTAGGGCTGCGTTATGTATATGACCACTTCCTGGACAGTGAGTTTGATTGGTTCCTTAAGACGGGACACGACTCATTTCCTGTCCTCGAAAACCTGCGCTATCTGCTGCTCATGCACCAAGCCAACATCCCAAACTACATCGGTCATGTGTTCAGTGGACCCAAATCAGGCGGCTCAGTCTTTGCCCTGAGCAAGCAAGCCTTAGCATTGATCGGTCCAACTCTGCAAGACTACGTGCCCGCTTTTGGAGGTGTAGCTGATGATTTAGAGATGGAGGCATGTCTCAAAGCCGCAGGGGCCACTTCCGATTACCAAGGAATGGACCTCGATGGTGTTCAGAGGTTCCGTATGATAGTTCCTGATCACAAGTTGCCAATGAATACAAAGGGTTACACAGCCTGGTATTGGCAGTACATCCGACACCCTGAGAAGGAGGTAAGTTTAATTTTACGCATCGTTACCTGTCAGACAATCAGCATAGGATGTACTGCTGGGGTTAAACAAGAAAACAAAGGGATATCTGTATATTAAATTATTATAAATCAAACAATTCACCTCAACTCTTTTCAGTGACTTTCTTTAAATATTTAATTCCTTGTTGAACAAGCTTTTTCTTTAATAGGTTGCATTTGTGGCCTCTGGTTCTTGTGTTGTGAGACATGGAGAACAAGTCTTCAGACCTGGATATCGTCTCTAGAGATCATTTAGTGTCTTGAACATTTCCGTCAAGTCACCGCTCATTCCCCTGACCACCAAGTGGTACAGATGTAGCCCATCCAATCGTTCATCATAGACTAGTATCAGAGGATTTGGACTAACTCTGTTTAATACCCTCATTGAATCTTCTCAAGTTCATACCCTTAGTCAGGTATAAATTTCTTCCCATGCTCACACTCAGTCAATTTTATCCAATAATAAATGTTGCCCTTCCGAGCTCCCTGCACACAAACATGACTCCCTGCCTTCAATTTGACATCCACTCTCCTTAGTAATGATTGATTCTGTCCCTTTCCAACTCACCCACACCAATTCACCCCTTGTCCAATTCACCCCTGGCCATCTGTTGTGGTGATTTTTTTTGTACAAATTATAGGTTTTATAGATTCCCAAATCATAATTGTTCTTATCAGAATAACGCTCACTTCTGTCTAGAACTACTCATTACTTTAATTCAGAACTGTGATCATAATCTCAAACTTTTGACTGCATTTTAAATGGATTTTTCGGTGCCCGGCTCTAATGGTCAATCTGTGCTGTTGCACAGCCTTGTGACATGATCCGTTAATATTTCTGCCATCGAACCAGAAGATCACCCAAAGTTTGAGAAAGGAGAAGTGAAGTTCCAGATTGTCCACAGGACTGACCGATGGCATGGGGTGATTGTGCAGTCGTGCAGATAGACTGATTGCATCCAACCTGATTATTCTATAGTTTATCAGAGCACTATAAAGTGTTGTGACATGTTCACATCTCCAGAACAGTTGACAAAGATAGGAAACTTTGATAAACATTGATGTGTACATGTATGCCTGGTGTTATGCCATACTGTTTACTTGCACTGTGTACCGTGACTTGCATACTCATGCCTAGGTGTAGGCTGCATTCATTTGCACAGTACTAATGCCAGTGAATACATACATTTAACAATAAAGACGATATTCTCCCAAGAGGTTAGCTAGCCTGTTAGCCCACCAAGTATTGCTTGTCTCCTACCATGTTTCATAACTCACCCCCAAGGTTTACAATCTGTTTAGAATTTTGGTTGGAAAATTTACATTATGGAATCTATGACCGTACACAACATCATTTTGATGAAACACTGTCTCCGAACATTCACGTCATGCCTGAAACTGCTTCCAGATTTGATGGAAAAAAGCCCCAAAATGCACCAGGCCTGAAAAGGGAAGGAGAGGGTAGGTAGTTTGTCATGAACCCTATGCCAATCGTTTAAGGCTTGACCCTTGCTCATATCAGTTATTTTTAACTGTCTTACCAAGTTTCAAATTTTGAACTCAGAGAATCCTGCAAGGTGTAGAGGATATGGCAAGACAGATATTCACACCCTGTACAGTGTACTTGTTAACTCTGAACACTGACTGTACATGTTTGAGCTGTTGATAGTGTGTGTATTAGCCTCATGGGTGATTTTGCATTGTGACAGGCATTGTAGGAAGGAAAAAGGGGCAATGTTTGCCCCTTTCTACCATTTTGCTAAATCACCCGAATGGTATCAGTGCTAAGACTTCCTGCATGTGAATATACCCACAACACCTGTGCGTGTACATTGACTGACACGTCCTTTGTGTCACGAAAACAACCACACATATTTTGCTGCATCATTTTATCCTCTGAAACTGACTTTCACTCAAAAACGCCCTCTAACAACATTATTTTTGGCCTGGAATCTCTGACTGTATTAATGTGCAGTTACAAAGCTGCTGTTATAACATGGGAATCAAACAGCTTTGTTGTACATGTACAGTGCATGCACATGTACATGCACATGTACATGTGTGTAGTTGTTTATATGCTTCCATTACTGTCGTATTCATGTTCAGTTCTCCACGTGGAAAATTCACTATTTGTTTTATGGGTTCTGTGGTCAATCAACCTTCAGACTTTGTTATTCACAGGTGTTTGCATAATTTTTTTTTCTTTTTCTTCGATTTTTGGAAAATAAGAAGTATTGAATTTAGCTTTGACATACCAGGATTTGGCCTTGCATTGCTCATATGTATTTTTTTTTCTTTTTTAATGAAAAGATGAAAATTCTGCCAGTCCATATTCAGTTTTTGCATTTTTTGGAACATAGTTTAACCTTCTATGGCCGTTCGCATTCTTCTGTTCATCTTCTTATTTTCCTGGTTCAAAGCTCAGTTTGCCTCAAGGATAAAAGTTGTTGAAACTGTTAAAAAAGACCAAATTGTTTTTATAAAATTGATGATTTACAAGCAGGAAAATTTTATTTAGAGAGTTTGTTATCACCGTGTGTCATCACAGACTGACAGTGATCGTAATTGACGCCGGCAGATCGGATATTACGTAACATGTCATCAAAAGTACCCGTAACCCTTTAAACTTGCAAGGTGGAGTAGAGAAGTATTCAACCTGTGAACAAACAGACTTCAAGATGGCCGCAAGTTCGGGCGGAAACGGGGCTTTCAGTCCAACTCGGTCGATTCTACTCTCGTTTTGCTCGGCTTTTTGCTTCGGACTGTGCTTGATGTATGTCGTCGTCCTTCGCGTTGACTTTGGGCGAAACCTTGGGGAGCTGGACAGTCTGGGAAAGCGGATTTTTGCACTGCAAGATCCCCACGGACACATTGATATCGTGGACGATAGTAACCGCGTGTCTCAACATGAACTGCAAGCGTTCAAGGGTCACACGCACTCTAGACAGTTCGGTAGGTTCGCAATCAGAGTACATGCATACATGTATGTACATTATTGTCATGATCATTGTATCAATTTGTGAGTATGTGCAGCGCATAGTGCTGCTCTATATCGATCGTGCAGCTGTCTACCTCTACATATTGCGCATGAATAGTACAAGTAATCATGATCATGGTATGGGGTGGCTAGTTTTACGCAAGTCATGCTAGTATTGATTCGAAAATCAACCATGTCTAATTTACTGTTAGAGTGTTTAGTGTTACCATTGAGCAAGGAACAGAACCTTAAATATATTAAACATGGAAATGTAGGCTTAGTCATAGTCTATGGCCCCACACTATGTCTGCACAAAAAGTAGCTTATTTTGACCAAATCAATTAAACGGCATGAATGGAAACCATTCCAACTCCTACTTGGCATGTTTGTTCACATCCTCAAGCATCTTAATAATTTTTTCTCAAAATTAGGACTTCACATCTGCACGTGTTGCCTTCCGTTGAAATTAGTCCATGATTTAATTTTTGGACCCAATAACCAACTTGGAAGTTGGAGTGCAGACCTGCGTACGGTGTTTGGACTCTACTCCTGTGTTACTTCCATGACTTCCAGAACTGAAAGATTTTTAAATTCTACATGTACTACGTGTACCTCGTGTACCTTACCAGTAGCTATGTGTCATGTGTAGGCCTATGCACAACTTATACATGTACATGTAGGGCCTACATGTACCTACATGACCTACTTTAGCAAAGTTCAGCTAGAGTGTGCCAACTCATTCTGCCATCACGAATATTTGCACAACAAGATTTCATACATCCTTTCCCGATGTCTGTTGGGAGGTTTAGTCAAAGAGTGAAATTCACAAGTACAGTCAACTCTGTCATACGAGTTCAGATAAGACGAGACTCCGGTTTAGACGACCGTATTTTGCCAGTCCTGACTGAACTGTGTTTATTCCTCTCATACTGCCTGAACACGAGCGACTGCTGCCAAAAGTGCTACAATATTTAGGACAGTGATGAACAGAAGAAATCTTTAATTTGAACTTTGATTCCCCCGCCCCCAAAAGTTCCCTAAGACTAAAGTGCCCCCAGGAAATTAATAAAAATTGTGTTCCATAACCAAACACCTGGCCCGAAAAAAATGGCCACCCCATCAAAGAATTGTTGCCTGTTCCCCGCTCTAACATGAAAATATCACCCCTTCCGATTTTGAAATTTCTATAAATTCGCAATTTAAGAAAATCATGACTAAACCGTGGTTTTCAGTCCAAAAAGGTTTAAAAAAACAACATCCATAAGTTTTGAAGAAAAAAGTACATCCCTCACTAACAATTTTTCACCAAAGCCACATGCCTTTCCCAAGTAAAATCTGATATTTGCCCTCTACTGTCCACACCACCAAAAGCTGGTTTCCTCCCAGCTTCATGTGCAATAAGCGCAGCTCTGGTGTTGGTTATCAACTAAAATGTCAGTCTACTTACATGTACGTTACGTGTGTGCATGTGGATCTCATCACGGCATGCTGGGCCAGGGATGTGTGTTACGGTATCGCTGCAAATTGACATGACTGGTGGAAATTCCACTTCCGGCGTTCTTACATTGTGTAATTATACTTTATTACAAGTTTCTTTATTCATTGAAATGTACATATACGTCTCACTTTCATGAACAAATTTTTAAAATCAAATTCACATAGCAAAACCTATGTGCCTTTAAACAAAAATTTATACATACATCGTACTTGTATACATATACATGTACACTTTACCTAAGGTCGATTGGTGATACATACATGTATGTTAAACAGGACGGCAGCTTTCGCATAAGACGAGGTCTGGATAATCGTAACCAATCGCAACGCGGCTCCTATCGTTACCCTGTTGTTTTCGTTTCAAAGCCGTGCTATGAGCGGCCTTCTCACAACTACATTTACATGTACATGTGTACCAATGACTAATCATAGCATAGGTATGAAATCTTGTTGCACAAATATTTGTGATGGCAAAGTAAATTGGTGTAATCAAAATACACGCACCTGTAGCTTAAACTTTGCAATGGCAAGTTGTACATGGCTGTCTGTGAAGTGTTATTCAAACCTTACAGTTCTGAATGTACATTGTACTCCAGTTTGGAGCCATAGACTCAGGCTAGTTAAAGGTGAAAGCATGTTAGGTCAATGTATATGTACCTGTGCATAGTTTTGCATTTACTTTAACATAATAGAATAATTTTCATATTTTATATAAGTCAATGCTAAAATGAATAAATATTTTATTTTCTTTCCACAGGTCAGGATGTTTTAGCAGATACTCTTTACAAGCAAGTCAGAATCTTGTGTTGGATCCTCACGTCACCTCAAAACCTCCAGAAAAAGACAATTCACGTACAGGCCACTTGGTCTCGCAGGTGTAACAAAGTCATCTTCATTAGTTCCCAGGATGACCCGGCATTCCCAACTGTCAAAGTCGAGGCCCCTGAAGGTCGGCAGTTCCTATGGCGGAAAACACGTGGTGCATTCAAATATGTTTATGACCATCACTTGAATGATGCTGACTGGTTTCTCAAAGCAGACGATGATACTTATGTCGTGCTAGAAAATTTAAGATATTTACTAGCAGACAAGAATCCAAATGATCCAGTATTTTACGGCCGCAAATTTAAACCCTACGTCAAGCAAGGCTACATGAGTGGTGGCGCTGGATATGTACTCAGTAAAGCAGCTCTGAAATTGGCTGTTGAAAAAGCCTTTCCAAATCCAGATCTCTGTCGCAGCGATGCGAGAGCAGCCGGCGCTGCAGAAGATGTTGAAATGGGCAAGTGCCTGTCTCGTGTGGGCGTGGCTGCTGGCGACTCAAGGGACAGCCAGGGGCGGGAACGTTTTCATCCTTTCGTGCCCGAGCATCATTTGATCAAGGGAATTGTGCCTGCCAAGTTCTGGTACTGGAATTACGTGTTCTATCCAGCCCAAGCGGTAACCACAAGATTTCTGTTTCAGACTTCAATCAATGTAGATGTGTGGGCATTAATGTATGCATTTCTGCGGCAGCAAATGGAGTAAAGGGAGCCAGTCACATCAGTGTTTCCCAAATGGTTATAAATACCTGTCAGGGTTTTTTACTCTCAAACATGTTACGAATGTAAATGTAGCAATTCAGGTTGGACTTTGAATGAAGAGTAGAGAAGGTTTTCTATTTCTGTATGTTCAAGTATTATTCACTTTTGCAATTACAATGGATGAAACAAAATTCAGCCGTCAATTTTGACACACAAAAAGGGACCTTGAGTTTTGTTTTTTGAAACAGAAATCACTCTGTGGCTTCAGTGTCATACTTTAATTAATTGACTCCAGTCTGATACACACAAAGAACTGGGTGTGGAATGTTCAAGGCTTGGTAGAAATGTCAAACCGTGAGAGAGACATTGCTGACGTGGGAGTAGTATTACATTTTTACTACATGCTGTGTCATACAAAAACCATTATACCAGCAGTAATCACCTTGACCTGTTAGATTTATTCTTAGCTAGGAGTTGATTGTTACAGACAGCCGAACAGGGTCAGCTACTCAGTCAACCGTACATTTTTTTTTTTTGATTGCCTGGTTGGTTGGTTGGCTGCTTCTCTACTGAGTAGAATGCATACAGCTATTGATGCTTTTGCTGAGTAACTTGATATTTTGATGTGTTATAAGCTTTGTATGGCATTTGGGTTACAAGCCCTAACCCTCTAGGATGAATGTAAAATCATATTAAAATGGGAGGATTTGGGACTGCTACATGTAGGGATAATGGATACACCAAGGCAGCAGTCTTTTCTAGCAAGAAATGTTGGCTCAGATAAACCAATGGAGAAAGATGGTTTTGATGTTTTGAGCAGTGTGCTGTGTTTGTCTCCAGGAAACTCTAGCCTATTATTCAGTTTTTTCCTAGTTCCAAGCACTTTTACCCAATTTACCCATAAAGCCATTCACCCATCAAGTTCATGTACAAACACAACTCTCTTGGGACATTACTATGTAAAACTTGGCACCCAGGCCCACACAGCTTTTTTTTTTTGGCTTTGCAAATCGGGATGTTACCAACAAGTGATTGTTTACGTAGGTGCTTAACGATTCCTAATCATAAAAGATCAATTCGGAGGTCATCTGGTTTTCTTTACACACATGCTTTGGTAGATCAAAAATTCAATATTTGAATAGAACTCACAACAGGTACACACGGCAAAGTCATCTTTGATACTTGGCAACAAACGTGAAAGTGAGTTACAGACGGTGGTGTAGAGAGTTCGTGTACAACGTTAAGAGAGTACATGTACAGTGTATACGTGTACTCTGTTGTCCATACTTTGTGTGTTTAAAAGAAATCAATATGGGTTTTATACATGCAAGGCCGTAAATATGAAACGGCAGTACACATCGGTCTGCTGGAGCCTGTCAGCATTGGACCAAAATACCCAGATGACTGATAACCCAGAGAAATAGGCTTCAGAAAATCAATCATTGATGGATGTTGGCAAGTTGAGAACTACATCTACTGTATTCCCTGTCCATGTGACTCCTGGTTCACGCAGCTTTGTCTTTGGTACAACTCTGTTCCTCTTGAAGGGTGCCGACAAGGGTCTGATTCTGCTAGGATCTGCCAGTTTTTCAATGTCAAACAAGACTGTGTGCCCTTTACACAAAGCTGTATTAAGACCAGTATGCCAAAGCTTCCATATTGCCCTCGTCGGTCACCAAAGCGTGTCCTTCTCAGGAGGCCAACTCACAAAGTTATCCAGTTCTGTACTGCTTTGCTCATCGGAGTTTTCTTCACACATGTCCTCATCATTCATGACTTGGACCTGACTGGAGGTGTGAGATCTATTCTTAGCAGGACAGGAACAGGTCTGGAATCACAGGATATAAAAGGACACACCCAAAGCAACGGTGCACCCAACATATCGAAAGGAACATTGCAAGTGTTCAAGTTACAGACTCATGCACAAGAGTACGGTGAGTCGGTAGTCAGTTGTGGTTTGTGTCTACACTGTAATTGTGATTGTTTTGTTGCTAAACAAGTCTGCTGCAAAAGTTTAGGTAACAAAGTCTCCATATTTTGTCCTGTTTTTCCACAGGTCAGGATGTCTTAGCAGATGCTCTCTATGAGCAGGTCAGAGTCTTATGCTGGATCCTTACTTCACCTCAGAACCTCTGGAAAAAGACAATCCATGCCCGGGCTACCTGGTCTCGCAGATGCAACAAAGTCATCTTCATCAGTTCCCATGACGACCCTACCTTCCCTACAGTCAAAGTGGACACGCCCGAGGGACGTGACTTCCTTTGGTACAAAACACGGGGTGCCTACCTGTACATTTATCAGAACTACTTGGACGATGCCGATTGGTTCCTTAAAGCTGATGACGACACTTACGTTGTCCTGGAGAACCTGCGCTACTTCCTGGCCGACAAGAACCCGAACGAGCCTGTGTACTTTGGCCGTCGATTCAAGCGCTACACGGAACAAGGATACATGAGTGGTGGTGCTGGCTACGTTCTCAGTAAACTAGCAGTCGTACTAGTTGTGGAGAAAGGCTTTCCTAACCGAGGCCTGTGCAAAGGGGCTGGAAACGGTCGTGGCATTGGAGCCCAGGAGGACATCGAAATAGGCCGATGTCTCGAGAATTTAGGCGTGGTCGCTGGCGATACCCGAGACAGCATGGGAAAAGAAACTTTCCATCCATTCCAGCCTGAAATTCACATTATACCAAACCTTATCAAAAAGTCATTCTGGTTTTGGAAATATGCATACTACACGACAGAGACGGTAAAATAAACCAGTTACTGAGTACCAATTTTTCTTTCTCTCGTGTTCAAGAGAGTTTGCAGAACTCGCCCTAAGTAGCCTGAAATTTTAGTTTTATTGATTGCCGTTATGCACTGCAGTCACTGTCAGTTTTGTTTATGCTTGCCTTGTGTGTCAAATTTCTTATTGTCATATTTTAGTTGCCAATCTTCATTGCTCTGACACTGTGACTTTTGCTCCATTGATGTAGCTGAGTTTCTCCCGTCTTATCCTGATTTTGACCTCGAGTTCTTTTCTCACCGTTTGTTTCAGGGCCCTGAGTGTTGCTCAGATTACTCCATCTCTTTCCATTACATCAGCCCCAACAACATGTATCTCTTGGAGTACATGATCTACCACATGCGACCCTTCGGCGTTGGTCACTACACCTGCCCAGCCAACATGGATGCTGTCCTGACCAACATCCAGGCACCAGCCAAAGTCCCAGCCCTCGGACAGAAGGACCAACTGGGCAAGGTAGCAGGGAATGCCCAGGTCAAAGCAGGGGATACATCAAAGAGTCAGGAGGTACCAGCAGATCAGCTGATGCAGTAGTAAACAGGTTCTTTGCTGTTTGAATTTGATATGACAAGAGGCCTTGAAAACTCTTAACAACGTGTAACGGAATCCCGAATAATAAACCCTTTGATCATAAAAAAGATGCTAGATAGCAACAAGCATCCATTTCTAAATGAAATGTTTTCCAAAAAAGTGATGCCGCTTACAACCTTGGGCATGCCTTGTTGATTGGCCTGATCAAAGTTTATTCCATTTCTACTTTTAACAGTTAAAATGGCACATGGGATTTCTCAAACCTTAGGAAACCTTTGCCCACAGAAATTGAGATTTCAAAGTGATTCACTCTCTGTTCGGAAGAGGTTAGAAAAAAATCAGCCTCCCAAAATGATTGGACCCATAGCTGATCTGAAAATCCTAAGATTTTTTACCTCTTGGCAAAATTCTCCTCAGCTCAGCATTATCATGTCCTTATCACTTTAAAAGGGAACATAAAGACAGTTCTAGATCTCAATAAGCAGCTTTGCACTAGAGTGTATAATTTTCTAAGGTTTTAATTTACAGGTGTTTTGGTTTCAAAGAAAGCATATTATACCAAGTTCTTTATTTCCGATGTGATTATCATAGATTAGTGTACTTGTGTATTGGTGAGTGTTACATGTACGGTCAAATTGCTGTTTCTGTATTTTTCATGGCTATTTATACCTCTATTAACATCAGTCCAATGAGCTTGCCTTGAATTTCTTGGATCCAAACATATGCATATGCAGTTACACCAACATACTTGTTCAGCTGTGGCGGGGACAAGACGCGTGCCAAAGCATAGACGTTGCAGGGACCAGAAATGTTATGGGGGGGCAAACCTAGCCTCTCAACATGGTCTTCATTTTCCGAACCATAGAAATTATCCCTTTGGCACAGGATAACAGCTTGGGCACACCTGTTCAATGGTGGACCTCCCATTGTCTTATTCTTCATTTGTCAGCTTTTGAGGACGGTCTCCCAAGGCAGTATACGCAGTTCGTCGATCGTAGACTCTTAGCTAACTGTCAAACCTGTGGTTCAGTCCACAATTTAAATGTGTAGTATTTTCAACACGAACACCACACTTTGTATAAAGTTAGTATCCTTTCTGAAATGATTTCATTTCAATTGTTTCTCTTGCTAAAGTTGCTTCATAGAGACTAAGAGAAGTTATCGCTCGCGGGTGCAATATGGGAATATATTATCCGACCTATTTCTCTTATAATCACTTTTGCAGGTGATTTTTATGCGTATTTTCATTTTCAGTTATGCATGTAGTTCAGTGGTTTAAGTCGAGTAAGAAAGCAGTCTTGGTAAGTAGTAACAAATACAAGTTTATGTCTTGGTTTTGTTAATACGCCCATATGTGCATGTATGTGCTTAAGAAATTGTTGATTATTTGCCAACTCAATTTTCTGATCTGTAGGTATAAATATAACATCAGTCTTGATGTATCGGTGTTGGATGGCGTTGAACAAAAAGGTTGGTTCAATGGTTTTATTCCAAAGGATAAATGTGCCTCTATGTTCTGATTCTTGGATGGCCAGTATTACTGCAATTAATTGCTCCAGTAATCGTGAACCTTGGAACTTTTCCAAAATCCTCCAAAATCCATCACGTTTTTAGAAACCAGTGGTATATTCTTTGCTCTTCAAATTTTAAGAGACATCAGCGCTTCACGTTCATATTGGCTGAACCTCTACACTCTCGGAAACTGTCCAAAACATCTGTTAGATTTTGAAGGATCTTGTAGGGTGTGGGCCAGGGGACATGTACAGGTGAATTGATGTTTTCAAAAGACTTAGGAAACAGTTATATCATGGACCTACACTAAGCTGTTCATGCAGAAGGTAGACAGGCACAGGTAGTTTAAAATGAATTGACAGAGGTTTGCTGGATCCTTTGATGGCAGGAATCAACGGGAGTGCCTTTTCATGAGGAATATGGTTTTATATATAGTATCACATGCATATTTGCTGTATTTTTGCTGCTTAAGAGTTGGTAAACAGGGTTTTTAATTAGTTCGGGGTGAGCAGAGATCAGCATGATTACTCATTAATTTTTGCTCTTTCGTTCATTTTTGTGGAGTTACATGGTGATATGAATAGATCACATGAAGATGAACAACATTTTCCAGTAGCCAATCTGTGCTTTGATTTTCTCTTTTCTTTGTGTTTTCCCTGTTAATCAGCACCATAGATTGGATCGTATTCAGTGACAGGGTCCCTGAACAGGCTGATGTTATTACCAAGTAACAAATATTTACTTTAGACATTGTCAAATTTCAGTAGGTTAACACAGCTAAGAGCAGAAGTTGGGGGAGGGTTAAAAAGTACATCTTCCACATACACCTACGACGACAATTTGTTGCTTTGCATGCAGTGCCGTGAGTACATACCTACATGAATATGTACATGTACGTGTGGTGAAAGGAAGCATATTGTACTTGGTTTTAAAATTTAATTCGGTGGCATTTTTACCCTTTGGCGTGCTGGCTTCATAAGAATTAAGCTATGTGTAATGATATTGGACAAACCTCCTCTTCAAAGAGGCTTGCAGGAAAAATTGATACTCTGTTAATGAATATTTTGGTTGTACACATTCTTGCATGTGTCATGCCTATCATTAGAACAAGTAGGTGAAAGGTCAGTGCATATTACTTACCCCCCTTGCTTCTCCTTTGGGGTGTTATATTCATGACTACATGTACAGTGTATTCATATTTGCATAATGCCTTATATAGAGGCATTTTACTTTGATGAAATGTGCCATCAAAAATATTCTGTTGGCGAAAACAGAATACCACCTCTGTGCAGACATTTCGGCACTGCTTGCAAACACCTGTGAGTCACCATGCTTCCTTTACAACAGTGTGATGGGTTGTTTATATCTAGTTGTCACATTGCTGTGCCCAGACTCCAATGTCCTGTGGGGGAAAAAAGTCATCAAATACTTGGACTATGCACAGCATGATGATTGTTTCTGGGGACGGGGACTGTTGTTTTGAGTTCTTGTTTCTTTGATTTGTTAAGTTTGTGTTCTGAAAGGAGGAAGATGTGAAGTTTTTTTTGTCAGTCGTGGATCAGTCATTTGCCATGCAAATTGAATCTCAGTATGTTTTATGCATTGCCTTGAGATGCCTGGCCAGACCCACTGAAATGCAACCCTCTACCAAAATATTCTTTCTTCAACAAAATGTAGGAGCAAGTATGTCAGGAATTCCTTCCCCAATCCATCAAAAACCAAAACGGTTCGAATGCGCTTTGAAAGTTGAAGGATACTGTCCAACCTTAGATACATGTATGTTTAGTACATGTGGAATTAAGTGTAGAGGGTTTGTCTTTGGATTGAAATTTGAAGTCTTTGATGTATTTTCAAGTGTGAAAATTGATTTGCAGGTGTGTAAAACATTTAATTAATGGCCATTTAAACTCCTCTGAATGACATACTTTGCCTGTGTATTTTGTTTTTATTTAGACTCATGGAATAATTTCCCCAATGTTACATATTGAACCAGCTTTTGGAATGGCTCTTTGAAACAGCAAGCCTGAGATAAATAACAATGGAGTGCATTTTTATATAAGTTTTGTGGATTAAAATTCAAGCTGAAGTGTTTTCAGTCTTTGAAAAACTCCATTTTTATTAAAATTATGATCTAGAGACCACAAAGTTAAGAATGTGTTTGTGTTCACTTTTTCATCAGGTATTGCCAAGTGTTTGATACAGATTGGCCAAAATGTAACTTTTTCATTCTGTTAGCCCCTGAAAATTCAGAGAAATTGTGATCCAGAGGACTGCAACATACTAAATGTTGCATTTCATTCAAAAAGCATTTCCAAGTGAATTGCAGAAAAAGAATTTTTTGCCATAATGTGAAAATGAAAATTTTCATCAAAATTTCATCCCACATGTAGATTACTGTGATCTTGCATATCTCTTGCATTTCATTCAAAAAAATTCTTTTTCTGAAAGGATTTATAAGTTAATTTTCCAAAAGTGTCAGATTTTCGCCCAATTTCTTTTGCAGGGCAAATCCAATGCAACTTTTTTAAAGAAATACTGCATTTTCTTAATAATATATAACCTAGATGACTACGACCTTGCATTTTATTTTAAAATAGTGGTTTGTGGAAAAGCAAAGTCTCAGCCCAAATTCAATTGTCATGCAACGCTTACTCCTTTAGCTTCTCAAAATATTTTCATTTTCGGTGAAATTATGATCTATGTGACTTCACCACCTTCAAGATTTGTTTCCATTTTGCAAAGGTAATCCCTTGAATTTTTTTCCCATTGATGAAATTTCTTTTTCGTTAAAATTAACACCTCCATGGCCCTACGACCTTCAAAATATCTTCTGATTCATTCATAAAGTAGTTCTGGGTGATTTACAGAAAAGTCAAATTTTGGCCCAAATTTCATTAATTATGCAAGGATAACCCCTTGCAATTTTTTCAAAATATAAAATTACCATCTTCATCAAAATTTACATCTAAATGAGTCTAAATGATTCATTCAAAAA